ATGCAATCTTGCATGTTGCAACACTTATTCGCATCAAACCAATAAGTTATTATATGTTATCCCCTTTGCAATTAGTTTCTAGTCAACAACTAAATATTTCTCATCTTAGAATTTATGGATGTGCAGTGTATGTTCCTATTGCTCCATCACAACGCACTAAGATGTGTCCTCAAAGAAGGTTAGGAATATATGTTGGCTATGAATCTTTATCTATAATAAAGTACCTTGAGCCAATGATAGGGGATTTATTCACTCCTCAGCTGATTGTCATTTTGATGAATCATTTTTTCCTACTTTAGGAGGAGAAAATAAACATTTGGAAAAGGAGATAAGTTGGAATGAATTATCTTTATCTCATTTTGATTTTTGAACAAAATAGTGTGAACTGGAAGTTCAAAAGATAATTCATTTGAAAGGTTTAGCTAACCAACTACCAAATGTGTTTACGAATCCAAAAACAATGACTAAAGCATTTGTCTCGGCTGCTAATGCTCAAATCCAAATCAATGTTCCGATTGGACAATCTAATGTTGCAAATCAATCTAAATCACGTATAAAGCGTGGTAGACCTTTTGGTTCCAAAGATAAAAATCTTTGAAAAAGAAAAGGAACTAAGAATCAAGGCGACCAAAATGAGGGTGTAAAGACTTCAAAAGAGTCATCAGACATAATTAATATTTTAGTTCCCGAAGAAACACAAGTACCTGAAAATGATGAAAATAAAGATATCTCAATAAATTATGTCATAAATAGAATACAATGGAACCAAAATGAAGTCAATGTTGATAATATTTTTTCATTTAATGTAGCATTGGATGTGATAACTGATATAGAGGATCATGAACCAAAATCAGTCAACGAGTGTAGACAAAGAAGTGACTGGAAAAAATGGAAAGCTGCAATTGAGGAAGAATTAAAGTCACTTACAAAGCATCAAGTTTTTGGACCTATAGTTCGTACACCTGAAGATGTAAAGCCAGTTGGATATCAATGGATTTTTGTGCGAAAATAAAATGAAAAAGATGAAATTATGAGATATAAAGCATGACTTTTTGCCCAAAGTTTTTCGCAAAGACTTGGTATTGATTCTGAACAAACATATTCACTTGTAATGAATGCAAATACTTTTTGGTACTTGGTCAGTTTAGCAGCAAATAAAGGACTTGATTTGCGATTAATGGATGTTGTTACAGCCTATTTGTCCTCACTTGATAATGACATTTATATGAAACTCCCTGAAGGTTTTAATTTATCAGATATTCAATCAAGTTGAATAAATCACTTTATGGATTGAAACAATCTGGATACATGTCGTATAATTGCCTTAGCAAATATTTGTTGAAGGAAGGATATAAAAATGACCCTATTTGTCCATGCATTTTTATAAAAAGATCTTATAATGAATTTGATAATTGCTATTTATGTTGATGATTTAAATATCATTGAAACTCCTGAAGAGATTTCAAAAATAGTAAATTGCTTAAAGAAAGAATTTGAAATGAAGGATCTTGGAAGGACAAAACTTTGTCTTGGATTACAACTTGAATATGTAAAGAATGGGATTTTTATGCATCAAGAAACTTAAACCTCAAAAGTGTTAACATAATTTTATATGGATAAATCACATCCCTTGTGTACTCCAATGGTTATAAGGTCATTAGATGTAAACAAAGATCCTTTCAAACCTCGGTAGTAGGATGAAGAACTACTAGGTCCTGAAGTACCTTATCTTAGTGCAATTGGAGCACTAATGTATCTTGCTTGTCATACACGACTTGATATATCATTTGTTGTTAACTTATTAGCAAGGTATAGTTCTTCACCTACAAGAAGACATTGGAATTGAGTTAAACATATATTTTGTTACCTTAAAAGAACAATGGATATGAGTTTATTTTATCCAAACAAATCTAAATCTGCGTTGATTGGTTGTGCAGACGCAAGTTTTTTGTTTGACACACATAATGGTAGATTACAAATAGGTTATTTGTTTACATGTGATGGTACAGCCATGACGATCTATGAATCAAACTATAACAGCTACATCATCAAATCATGCAAAAATTTTAGCATTACATGAGGTAACTCGAGAATGTGTATGGTGAAGATCTATAATTCAACGTGTGCAAGAAACTTGTGGTTTATCTTTAGAAAAAATGCTGCATGTATTACTCAATTGAAAGAAGGGTACATTAAAGGAGATAGAACAAAGTATATTTCTCCAAAATTCTTTTTTACCCATGATTTTCAAAAGAATGGTGATATAAATATTCAACAAGTTCGTTCACGTGAGAATTTAGTAGATATTTTCACAAAGTCACTTCCAAGTAAAACTTTTGAACAACTAGTTCACAAGATTAGACTTTGTTGTCTTCGAAATGATTGTCCACATGAGGGGGAGAATTAAATACGCTATGCATTCTTTTTTCCTTAGCTATGATTTTTTTCATTGGATTTTCCTGACAAGGTTTTTAATGAGACAACATGTAATAGCGTATTAAATAATATATATTTTTCTTAGGCTTTTATCCCATTAGGTTTTTCCTAGTTAGATGTTATGAAACATATTCTCAAATAATGGACATTCAAGGGAAAGGGTTATGAATTATTATATGAGTGAATGTCTATATTCATAACTCCTCCTTATTCTTTGTAACTTACGATTTTGTAACTGTTTTATTTAATTCTCATTCAAAGAGATACGATTCTTCGGTTATAGATTTAGGCCTATAAATAAGTGTCTCATTTATATTGAGAATAGGTGAAATGAAATTGAGATTCTCTCTTCCTCTCTATATTATTCTCTTTATTCTTTCTTATAATTTTACGTTCATTTCATAACATTTTAACTATTATTTTATTTTTGTAGGAAAAATACACTAAACATAAATTAACATATAAGAAAAAATAATAAATTCATTTTTGGACACTTTCATCTCTAATTAGATGGTCAATTTTTTCATCAATATCTAAGTAAGTAACATTCATATGTCCATAATCAAAATCATCATCATATTCACAAAAATGTTTTTTTTTTCTTATTTTTAAGTGATTCTTAGTAAATATCAATAATATGCTTTGTTGTATGAAAAACACGTGACTAATGACTTTTGCTTTCATAATAGTAGCATGTCTTTTATATTTTTGCTACTTTGGATACCTTTACCCTTTTTTATTTTCTCACCATTTTTTCACTTTTGGTGAAAATATATATTTCTGATTATTACCACAACCAGACCCATAACAATTATCATGACCATGATTATTGTTATTACTATAACTATGATTGTAAGTTTGTTCATAATTAAAATAATCACATGTTGTTGCATTCACTTCTTGAAATTGAGCAATGTCAGTTGAACAAGATTCATAAATTTTTATCAAAACTTTACATTTTGTTCAACAACGAGATAATAAATTAACTCATAATATTTTTTAAGATATGACGATAGTTTTCTTGTAAGAGCACATTAAATGCTTGAAAAGTAAATAATATTTCTTCTAATATATCCTCATCAATAACATTTTTCCTGTATAATTTTAATTGAGATGTAATTCTAAATAATGTTGATACTCACTAACAGTTTAAAAATATTTCAAGCATAAATGCATTCAATCAAGCTTTTAATAGAATGACTGATTTTTTTTTATCATGTGTGTTATATCATAACGTTAAAAGATTGTCTAATTATGAATTGAAAATTCTCTTATATCATCATGGATAGACTTATTTTTAGCATGTCCACTTCACTAGATATTGTTTTTGTCATTTTTGAATTTCTTTTATGTTTTTAAAATAAATCAATAAAATAATATATATCAAAGGCTTCCGAAAGAATATTTTGCGAAGGTATAGAAATCAAATTTCGAAAACTTGTGAATTCCAGAATTTAAATTATGAAAAACAGTTTTTCAAACGACAGATGAAAGGATTTATGGTATAAACCTGCCTCATTAGCCTAAAGTCAAAAAAATTAATGAAAGAATTTATTACTGACCTATACACTAGGAAAAAAAAAAAATACACTGCGAGGTTGGTACAAGAAGATTGATTCAATTGTATAAGTTAAAGCATTCATCACTACTATATTAACTTAAAAAGATTTAACCCTAACATTAATAAGGATATTTGTGAAAACAATTTTAAAAAAAAAAGTTGCAAATAGAAAAAAAGGGTTGCTCTGAATGTAAATACGGGCCTTAGACAGTGTACTAACCAATAAGGAGCAAAGACGCCAAAGAGAGAAGGATTAGCCAACCAATCCACAAAAATGTGCATTCCCTCAAATGACTAATTTCTTTTAGAGTTGGCATTCTCAGAAAACAAAGCTGCAAAAATGAATGTTGAAAGAGTCCTCCAAAAGAGTTCACCAAAAAACAAAAGGGTGATACAATAGAGAAATAATAGCCATCCCACAATGATTTCTTTTAGAATCTATCGAAAGTATCTTCAGTCGACATTCAGGATTTAGCGATCATCAAATTTCACTTTATTCGCCCCAAAAAAGCATTTTAAAGATTCAGTGTAATTAGCATGCTTAAAAATTCATTTACTTTTACTATATCCTTCACTCCACACAATTAGAAAAACAGTTGGCATTCTCATATATTAGCTAGGTGTAACATATATTAAATATATGTTAAAATACTTGTTAGAACTCATCACTAGTATTGCTTGGACACGAATCCTTCTAGTGTCAATTATAAGATTAGGACAGAGCTAAGTCAAAAATTGGAAAATTGTTAATTGCCCAGATCAAACTTCTGAAGCAAATTACACCTATACACCTTATATTGATTTGCTTTGATAAATTCGAACAGGTACACCAAACGTAAAAATCACAAGTCCTCGCTTGTGTTGTACAGCGCAATCTGGTTATAATGAACTATAAAACTTGTTCATTTTTTTTTTTTCATTCAGTAATTATTAAGTGTTGTTTCCTTATTTGAAATATCACCCGACACCACCTCAAAAGATTCAATCATTCCATAGCTGCCCTCCAGACACAAGGTACAACACAAGGCCGAAAAGTCAACAAGACTACGCAACTGAGAGGCCAAGTCTTGTCTTCACATACCAACCATCTTTAATCATGCGATAGTACCAACCACAAACACAAACATCCACATGTAACATTCATACAAGTTCACTCATGAAGATGAAGTGCGCTTGCTTTGAGTAACATAACATTTGAGATAATATCAGACACAACAAATAAAAATGGGCATGAGGGTATATAGCATGAATGTTCCTACAGTTATGAATCAAAATAATCTTTGTTACTACATGAAATGATGACCATCACACTGAAAACATATATATACACATGGAACACAAACAAAACCCACAACATACATCATGGTCAAACACTGTATGATCTCTACAAAGGAGTCCTGAACTGTCCCTACCAGTATCAACACTCTTCCCAAAGCTGATGTTCTTCAAAGCATAAACACCCTAATTCGTATCCTCAATTGTCAGCTATCAATATATTGTCCACGTATATCTCAGCTTATTACAAGCAAATACTAGTGTACAATCCATCTCGTATTCACAAGGTTTGCGCTAATTTTAATAATGTTTACAGGCACTGCCAGATAAAATCTTTAGTCTATTCCTGCACAAGTAAAAACATGACCAGTTAGGCCAAATAAATAGAATAAGCAGCACACCATGATTTGACAATTGCAAATATTGGAACCACAACATACCATTTTTTTAATTTTAATTTAACCTTGGGGAGGGGAATCAGGCTCTGAACCACAAAGGGAAGCATATGACATTGTATCTTCCTTAGATATAGCTACAAAGTTCAGAGGTGCTGTAGATAATCTTCTCATTTCCTTAAAATATCCATTTTGACGACCAGAGTATGACCGTGGTGTCAGTAGTTCAGATGTTCCCCCACTTACAGAATTACGACGAGGTGTAGGAGGAACTGATCCAGTGCCATTTGTACGATACCCATTTGTCTTTCTAAAGCTGTTACTTTTTCTTGGACTAGGTTTAGAGCCATACATGGCTTCCTTTTGATTCAGGAGTAGATCTTGCAGCTTCTTTTGATCCTGTGAAATTCAATGAAACACACACCAATTAGCTATAAATTATAGAAACATGCAGTATTTCTCAAAACAATCAAATTAAAATAAATATATATCCTTTTTCAATTTTTAGTGTCATCTTTCAAAAATTCCAACGTGAGTGTTTAATAATTTAAACTTAACCTATTAATCTTTTTATTCGAAGATCAATACATGAACAAAAAACATATACTTTTAAGGTAAATGTGTCCAAACAAGTAAATTTTACCCGGTGTCGTCTCTTCTCTTCTTCTTTCTGTTGTCTGGCCAGTTTATAATCCTCCAATATTGATACCAAACGTACCTACAGATAATATAGATTATAGACATTCAATTTTACCTCAAAAAGTTTCAAGACAGAGAACACAACCAGAAATAATTACACCACTTCAAAGCTCACCCCATCGTATAGAAAATGACTCTTCTTCTCATCTTCCCAGGCTAGCGTTTTGTTTATAAGATTGTCAACCATAGCTGGAAAGAACATACTGTCATCAGGAGTCCAAATGACAATCTCAACAACAAATGAGCATTCATGAAAACAATACCTGGAATTTTGCTTACAGTTATTCTAGCACGTTCAGCACGTTTAAGATTAATGTGAGCACCTCGTCCAGCACTGTACCGGTTGTCATCCTGAAATTGCATATTACTAATTACATAGATACAGATAGAAAACCCTGGGTTTTGATAAAATTGTAATTTATAAGTATCTTGGTATATTTGGTCCCACTATAAACTTTTGTTTCATCAACTTTTACTTAAGTTTGTCTAACATGGCATTTTTTTACAGTGTGGTCCATGCAAGAATCTCTTCAATAATAAAAAAAAAAGGTACCACATAGAAACCTCCAAAAGAAATACGAGTTTGGGCAGAAACAAAATAAAATGAGAAGTGAAAACGAAAAAGGCAAAACCCTGGTTGGTCTGTTACCAAGCAGCCTGTTTATGACACAACATAAATTATAAGACAATTTATGGCTTACTTGATTATATTCATCAAGCCAATTCTCCTCTTCACATGCAGAAAGCCACTTGTCAATTCTATCTGTCACTTCTTTTCTGCTCAATGCTTCACCTTTTGCCTTAATTATCTGTGCTTCAATGTTGGCCAATAGTTCAGAAGGATCAACCAGGCCTATATAAAAAACATTTAGATTCAATAATGTCAGACAATTTCTAGGTAAATCTGAAAAAAAAATAAAAGATTTACATGGCTGACAAGTGTGTATTTGGTTGAACTGATTTTTTAGTAATTATAGCTTATTTTTGTTAGCTTCCAGAGAGAGATTTTGAAAAAAAATTCCCAGAAAAAATTTGTTCTTGAACACATGCTAAGAGGTAAGTTATAGGTAACTAATCGACTAACGCAGTAAGTACAGACCAGAATCTATTAATGCACTAGCTTTCTCGGCAGCAGTACTTGTATCTGGTTCAATATGAGCCAATCTACATATTTCCTCTAGCTCTGACCTCTTCTTAAAAACAAGTTCCTTCATTCTGCTTGCTTTTAGTTTGGCAAGCCTTTCCACCTCTGCTGAAGCCTGCAAAAAGGACTTTTAAGTCTAGGTGCTCCACATCTACAGAATAAATGGAAAACAATGAAAGAGAATAAAGGGTGATGGAACACAGAGAAGCTTCCAGACCTTCTCTATCATCTCTGTTGAAAGAACACCTCGTTCAGTGATTTCTGATTCAGAGGTTCCAACAACAGAAGTAATCCTCAGAAAACAGTTTCTCTCTTCTTTTGACGAGTCCATCAAATTCCAAAGTTCAAATAGTTTAGCTACAACATCCTTCAGCTGCAATTTTAAAGAGTATTCTATTTAAGTATAAGGCTAAATTAAAGTGGGGAAAAATTACAATAAACAATCAATCGAGTGACGAAGATTGATGAAGGATGGTGCATATAAATCACCTTCTGGATTCTAGCTTTCCTTTCTATTTTTAACTTGAGAATAGTCTGCTCTAGACCTTCCAATGTGCTAGTGCTAATATTAGTTGATTGTTCCACCTGAATCCCATGCAAACTTGGATGCACATCACCCACAGTCTGGCCAAAATCCAACCCAAGCACACTACAGAGAGAATGCACCTCGTTCACACATTGCAAGATCTTTTGAAGGCGGTCAGACTGAAAAGAACAAGCATAGAAAATGCACATGTGAGTTATAAAAGGATAATCAATATACCAGATGATAAGAGGATGGATCTTTAATGTCTTGAACCCACTTATAGGTAAACTTTTCTCACTCTCCCAAATTCTTTCACATATTTTAACTGCCTCGGGTATTACTTGAAAAAAAAGTCATGTCATCTGACTCTCACCCTAAAAGGAATGTGTCTGTAAAGCAGGGCAGGGAGAGTGCAGAAATAAGAGAAGAATATTAACATGAATTGACCATTCATAACAATCACAAAGAACTTACTAACCCAGAACACAGCTATGAGTTCAAGAAACAATTTATATCATAATACAGACCTTTTCCTTTTGAAGAGTACGTAGGTGCGTTTGATACTCATTAAGTCTTCTAAGTGACAAGTCCTGTTCATCCTCAACTGTTATGCTGCTCATAGCATTATTGACACTGTAGAATCCATAAATCTCTCCACTTATCTTGTCTATTTGAGACTTTACATCCACAAATTGCTTCAACCTTTCATCTTTTTTCTTCTTCAATTCTTCAACCAAAGGTGTGATGGATGCAAGTTTCTCCTTCAGGGATGCACATCTCTTCTCTGTCTTAATCTACAAATTTCAAAGACAAAAAGAACAGAAATTTATATCATGCAAGTAAATCTACTATCCTCTCAAGTCATTCTAAGATATGAAAGTTAATTCCTACTTATATCTTCTTACAATGATCATATATGGCATCTCCTTTTTTTCCTAAAGTAGGCAGATTAAAGAAATAATAACAAAAAGAACATAGATATCTCCTTCATCAACACATATAAAGCCCGTGGAAACAATTCCACATAAATATAGAAGGTATAGGAAAAAACATGCTATTCCCCTTTCCTCCAGCATTGTTTATCATAATTTCACATAGTCCTTCAGAACCTACAATTCGAAAATATTAACACTTTGCAGCAACATGTAATGAATAAGATCATTTCTCTCCAATCTTTTTCAGTGGTAGATTGGATTGAAGGCGCAGAAAGCTGGGCAGGGGTGTAGGAGACTTAGTGGAGAAGTGAAGCTCTAATAATGACAACATTATGACACTCAAATCTTACAGACTCCAACCTGTGCATGTTGAGCTATAAGATCCATGGCTATCCTGAGCTATTTGACTTTTTCAATATCCGAACAACAAAATACCGGGATGCCAGGCATGAAATTGATGTTTAAATTTTGAATACATGTAATTTGTTTTCTTGTACCGGTGAATGAATATCATGTTCGCCAAGTGCAGCTGTTAGTGTTGCAAGCTCTGCTTCCTTGGCTGCAACAGTTTGATGAAAGCGTGCTTTGGTGTTAGCAGCCTCATCAACCTTTCTCCTGTAAACCTCTAAGCATTCCCTCTCCAGTTCCATCAACATGCGATCTTTTTCCACCTCGCTCTCCCCAATATCGTTCCATATTTGCTGCACCCATGATAGGATTTGTCAACCCAAGAAACAATAGACGAAGAAAGTAACAAATACAGAGCAAAGTTAAAGAGAAAGCGCAAATAACAATTTGGCATTAAAACTTGAATTTTTTCTTTCTTACCTTAATATTGCTAAACACAAAAATGAAAATCAACAAAATGATATAAAAGAAAAAAACTACCCCAAGGCATAACCAATTTAATTTGCCACCAACCAGAGACTCATTCTATGAGCAGGTCATCATATCTCACAAAAGCAATAAGAACAAAGAAACAGCGCACTGTAACATAATTGGATTATTATCAAAAGACCAAATCACCGAGAAACCCCATACAAACACTAAACTGCAAACTTTTACAATGCATTAAGAATCCCAACCTACTTGATTTTTAAAAATTTGCAGCAACCCAATAGCCGAAAATCAACCACTTCAATTTTTTTTAGACTAAAACCAATGAAAAATTTAGAGGAAAATAAAAAGGCTGAAAAAATGACCTTTTTCAACTCAGGTAATCAATCTCACAAGGAAAGACAAACCCCCTTTCCTCTATAAAAAAAATAACCTACATAGACCCTATTAGTGCTTTTCCTTTTGACACAGTAGAACAGACAAAAAGTTGACCTTAGAAGAAAGAAGACATCATTGGGTAGAGAATACCCACGAAGAAGAAGAAAGAAAGAAAGGTAGGTGTAGAGTAAGCATATCATAAACAAATCATTATGAGCAAACCCTTCCATCTTCATTAAGAAAAAAAGAGCCATGTGATACTTTTGTTCCAACAAATTCCAAACCAAAGAAATTTGAAACACCAAACAAGAGTTGTAGTCTGAACAAAGAAGGACCTCAAGTTCTCTGAGCAAAGCAGTGCAAGTAGTACTTGTACGGATACTGGTCGCAGAACTCCCAATGGCCAGCATTGTTCACAAAATATGAGCCCCTTTTACACTCTATACAGCAAGGTAGTAGCGTTGCTTCAAAGTTCAACAAACAAAGTGTGACCCAAGAATCAGAGGAAGAAGGGTCAAAGAAGAAAGCATGAAACTTCCATCTCAAGTCAAAGACCAAGAGACATGGGGTGTCTCCATTGCTTCAAACAACCTAAGCTCACCCAGATCTAAAGCTGAAACCTTTGGTTCCCTACTCTTTCTCTCTCTCTTCAACAAAATAACTAAGTGTTTGGCAGCTACAAAGAAAGAAAGAAAACTCTGAAAAGAGAAATTACAGGATCTGTAAAGAGGGGTGTTTTGGAGTAAGAAAAAGTTCTCAGGGGGAGAAAATGATTGCCATGATAATTATTGTTGAAGCTTGGAACAGTATAAAAAAGAAAATGCTTAAGAAGAAAAGCAAAGAGGGAAAGAAAGTAGAATGATAATGCTTTTTTAGGGTTTGGTGGTTAGATGCTAAAATGCGCCAAAATGTAGCAGAACAACAAGAGCAGGTAAAGAGGCAAGTATTGGAATGGATCTGTATTCTGTGTGTAGTGTGTATGCATACCCTCTCTCTCCCTCATGTGTTCACATTCGCCAATGATTTGCATAGGTTAAGTTAAACATGAGCATGCCTTTTTATTTTTATTTCCTTAACTTTCTCTCTCTTCTTGTGCCCAGTGAGTCTCAAATTTCACAATTTTATACCTTTCAACTATTTCAGTTTATAAATTCTCTTTCTTATAAAAAGTGAGAGAATTTGTAAGTTGAAATAATAAAAAATTATTTTATACAAAATCATTTAATATTGTTAATGTATTTATTTATATTAAATTTTGTAATTTTTATTTAAAAATTGTTTTATATAAAATATTGCATAATGGATATATATATATATATAAGTTGTAAACATTTCTGACAGCATAGAATCTTGATATTTGTTGTTTCGCACTCGTGATGTGGCGCGTGGTTGTGACACTCTAATGGGACAAGGAAATGGCTTTGAACTTAGCTGAGGAGCGTGAGTTGTTTGGCTCTGAGCCTCTGACCCAAGTAGCTGTTTTGACGTTGAAGTGCAAAGAATAAAAAGGAGGAAAAGGTGAAATGGGAATAACAACAGAGCGTGTTAAGATGGGTAGCTTTATTTATTGTGAAGTTTGCATTAATTTGTAGTAAAAAGTTTAGAATTGGTTTTGGGTTAAAGGGTGAGTGATTTTAGGGGAAGAAAAGTGGCATAGGCTTTCCATGTTATGCATTTTGCATTTGAGAGTGAGTGAAGAATTAAAGTGGAAAGATAAGTTAGATTGGCAGTTCATGACAGTGTTGTAATTAAATGAGTTTGAATATGTACTTTGCTTTACTGCGCAAAAGATGAATAAATGAAAGACAAATTAGATGGAGGAACAGGGATGCATATGCCTAAGGCACTGTTATTCAACTCACTTGCTTTTACTCTTCGGTCAAAGTATAGAGTTATTGGATCATTAATGTAACCATTAGTATTAATTAAACTACTTAAATTGAATATACATATGTTTAGTTAATTTATATATATATATATATATATATATATATATATATATACACACTTTAAACATGTCTTCTAACGTATATAATAAAATATAACAAATAATAATTTTATTTAAATCATACTATTTAAAATTAGCAATATATTAAATTATGTAACATTATTTTATTTTTAATAAAAATGTATTATGTATAAATTTGTATTATATTTTTTAATAATTATATAATTATTTTATGAAGTAAATATTAAAAATAGCCCATATTTATTTTTTTCTTAAATTATTTTATAATTTTAATTGAGTCATATAATACTACTATTGAGAATTAAACCTTTATTTAATATAGTTGCATTGATAAATACTCAAACTCAAGAGCACATATTTATTATTTTAAAAATATGAAAAATATTTAATAAATTTTTATGTAAATTATGTGTCTCTTAGAAAAATATTAAACAAAAATATTTTTATACAAAAATAAAATAATCAAATTTTAATAATTAAAAAATAGTATAAATAATTAAAATTAAAATATATAATTATTTGACGTTAAATCGCATTCACTTCCTTAAAGTTTAATACAATTTTATCTGACATTTGTTTATATTTTAAAAACTATTTTGACCACTAATTCATATAACAACATAAAAAATCATAAATAAATTTCACAATTAAAAAAATATACGATGTTATATTATTAAATGAATTAAGATATTTGCACAGGGTAAAAAAAATATTGAGTAATATGTCATTAAATATTAGATGGTATATATATATATATATATATATATATATATATATATATTAAAATTAATCATAGAATGATATTAAATTTTGATAATTTATATATGATTTTAAGGTCTAAAAATATTATTTCCTTTATTAAAAATTTATGTTATTTTAATTTAGTAAAATATAGAATATTTTTCTTTACATATAATATTAAGGTTTAAAATCAAGTTTTGTTTATTTTTAAAATTTTACAAACTTTCTATTAATCTTTAAATTTAATAAATAAATAAGTTTAGTTTTATTTTATTTTATTTTATAGGGTATGTTGAAAAAAAGAGTTAAATGATATTTTTATAAATTCATAAATTAATTAAAGATTTTAAATTATAAAGACTGAAATATTTTATCTATATGATCTCAAAAATGAATTTAAGAATATACTTTATTTGCCTTTTTAACATCGAACCTTTTTTTCAATTATAGATAAAATATCTTTTCATGTATACATAAATCAATTATTAACTTTTTAAACATAATTGCATTTAACAAGATACTTAGATCTCTGACATTACCAAGCATGCAACTATATTAAATATAGTATCTATATTAAAAAAATACTCGATGCAGAAAATATAATAAAATTAAAATAAATAATTACTAAATGTAATGAGAAATCAACATTGTATTTGAGTGCTTTTAATACAACCTTCTGATATTGAAAATAAAAAGGGGGAAGAGGTCGGTGGTTGACTATTTTTCAAAAACTTTGACCGTTGTAGTTTATATAATTAAACAGAGAGATTGTTACACAGGAGTAGGTCTACCAACACACCGAGTCCCTCTTTCAATCATTCAACCTTATAGTTGACTTTTCATTCCCCTAATTTTCCCCCTTTCTTCAATTTCTTCAGTTTTTTACGGAAGTCACGAAGCTGATGAAAATTTCTATTTTTTTTATTTGATGTTTATAAATGTAAATAAGTTTTTAAATGACAAATATTTTTAAAAAAATAATATGTATAAAGGTTAAAATACAATTCACCATTAAGATAAATTAAAGATGTCATCATAATTTATGATTTACTATAAAATATGATCTACTAATTTTAAATAATGTCATTATAATTTAATGTGGTTAATGAGATTATTTTAAAAATATGGTGCTTTAAATTAAATAAAACGTATTTTATTTTTTCTTTGTTACAAAAATTATAAGGAGATAATATTTAAATGTCAAAGTCATTGTTTATTTTTTAATTCTTAAAAAGCATTGGAAACTTCTTTTTAGTTTTATTCTCTTGTCATATAACCTAAAATCCATGATTAAATTTGTTTAACTCTTTAAATGTGTATAATTACATTGAATTATTTATTTTATAAATAAAACTTAAATATAGTTTTCTTTTTACTTAAAATTAAAATGTCACTTCAATAATAACATAATAACAATTGATGTTAAAGATTAATACTAATTAAAAATAGATATTTAATTTTAATAAAAAAATATAAAAACACACATATAAATTTTATCTTTAAATAATATTTTAAAAATATCAAAGGTGCAATGTAACATTTTTAATTTTTTTTCTTAAAAAAATATAATAATTTACGTCGAGATAAAGAAAACTAGAAAAAAAAATTAATTTTATCATGATGGAAAACAGTAAGCTTATATATAGTTAAATGAAGTTACACTTTCAACATTAAATACAATAAGTAAATCCTAATGAGTATTGTACTTCAACACAAAAAGTTCTGAAGGCATGATCTTAGTCATCATTGTCAAACCAACTTTCTATTTTTTCTAACTCTTCTAGACTCAGGTCCTCATCATAAATAAATGTCTTCAGTAACAAAGACAACTTTTGTGTCAATGATTTATTCTCAAGTGAAAGTGATTGATCTTCCCAATTTAATCATGGCCATGGAAAGTATATACAAGATTCATGACATGGGTGTGTGAATTGTCCCTCTATACTCATACAGACATAACGTGTGATGTATTCTACCACTAGGAAACTTAAAAGGAACATTATATCCTATGATAAATTCTACTATACATACATCACCAGGATTATTGTTGTTAGGTACAACAAACTTAAATTCTTTGTCATTCTCTAAATATATAATTTAATATACTTTTTACACTCAACTATGATAGTTTAATGAGTCTTAGTGGAGTAGTCATCTTTGTTCCATGAAAATTATTTGTAAGGTTGAGTTCTCTTCTACTATTAAAACATAAAAAAAAAATACAAGTATGAAACATCACAATAGCAAATCTCATAGCAACAAATACGATACAAAACATATAAAGAATATCATAACTCATGCACTATAACTATAACAAGATCTATCTCTGTCTCCTATCCGCACTCTCTCATGCACTGTGATCACAGTTAACCGTTGTCTCCAGCATTTTATGAGGTCTTACACATTTATAGGTAAATAGTTGTTGATTAACCCATGCACGTAGATACAACATACACAACAACGGGTTCCTTAGCAAAAGTATAGTTAGAAGTCTAGTAAAAAAATAAGTGTGAGACCTGTGATGTTTTTGCTTTAATTAGTTTATGCATAGTCAATACAAATAGAATTCATCACCTTATTTTTTTAAGATTTCCTAAATTGTCTTTGAACTCTAAAAACTCAGTGTATTTATGTAATCATTTACCCTAGTCTCTTTCATTACCACCACTTACAATATACTTTCCCCTATTCATTTCTCATCACTCAGCTAAATATATCGTGTCTAAAGTCTAACACTTCCAGACTTAGTCCAAATCAAATATCACAAAGGAATATACATTTCAATCATTCAACATCAGTAGCCAAACATGTATCACCAACTATAATAGACAACAAAGCTTCCATTTAAACGCATATTCATGAGACAAATACATACAACATTATATTTTCATGATTATAGTTATATTCAACGTTTTAATAGCGAGATAGAGCTCTCCTTACCTCAATAAGAAGATTTTCTAGAAGATGGTATTTAAAGGATCAAACTCTTCCTATATATATTACAAAAAATAGAGCACCTTTGAGAAGAGAGAAAAATGGAGTAATAGAAATAAGATTGGAGAACTAACACTTAATAAACCTACTTGTGATTGATGAAAAGGAAATTTGAGCTCGAATTTGAAAGCAGTTTGGACTTTAGGAGAGGTTTCTCTGAGAAAGGAAATGAGATAACAGAGAGAAAAGTAAGTGAGGAGTTGCTTGGCTTACAATACAAGTTTTTAAAACAAGAAATTACTTAAATACTTCTTTTTGCTCAACAACTCTCACTTAAGCGAGATGCATTCTGGCTTGGACGAGAACACTAGATAAGAGAATTATACTGAT